TAGTGCAACTATTTAGTTTATGTAAACAACTGAATGATAAATTGAGTTAGTGTTATAAATTTGTGTAATTATTTGGTGTAGTTGTTTGGTTTTATTTGAATACATGAGTAACTGTTTAATATATTATAGGATTAATCTCATTTTACACCCCGAAAGATAGTTCGAATCTCAATTTACACCCTCAAAGAGCAAAAATCTCAATTTGCATCCTCAAAGATAGAAATTTATATCAATGTGCACCCCTAAAGATCAAAAATCTCAATTTACACCCTCAAAAATAGAAATTTGTATCAATGTACACCCCCAAAGATCAAAAATCTCAATTTGCACCCTCAAAGATAGAAATTTATATCAATGTGCACCCCAAAGATAAAAAATCTCAATTTGCACTCTCAAATATATAAATTTGTATCATTATGCACCTAAAACTAAATTGATAAATTATACCTAGATCCTCTCATGTTTGTCACTTAATCATTTGGACCTCTTTACATTTAGAATATTACTCCTACATCTCATGACATTTATGCACGTACAACATGTAACCCATTTTCATTGATATCTGTTAATATAACCGTTAAAAAATATAATTTTATCCTAATAAAAAATTATAATTTCATATTACCCTTATTTTATGGGTCCAATATACTCTAAAGTTCAAAATCAAGCTTACCATTTGAATGTCTAATAAAATGTAGATATTTATATAATGTTTTTCATATTTTCCTTTTTATAAATATCTACATTCTATTAGACATTCAAATGGTAAGCTTGATTTTGAACTTTAGAGTATATCGAATCCACAAAATAAAGGGTAATATGAAATTATAATTTTTTATTAGGATAAAATCATATTTTTTAACGATTATATTAATAGATATCAACGAAAAGTGATTATGTTTACACATGTACAAACGTCATGAGATGTATGTGTAATATTCTAAATGTGAAGGGGTTCAAATAATTAAGTGACAAACATGAAGGGATCTAGATATAATTTATCAATTTAGTTTTAGGTGCACATTAATACAGATTTATATATTTGAGGGTGCAAATTGAGATTTTTGATCTTTGGGGGTGTACATTGATACAAATTTCTATATTTAAGGGTGCAAATTGAGATTTTTGATCTTTGGGGATGTACATTGATACAATTTTCTATCTTTTAGGGTGCAAATTGAGATTTTTAATTTTTGGGGGTGTAAATTGAGATTTGAACGATTTTTCGGAGTGCAAAATGAGATTAACCCTATATTATAAGACAATTGTAACTGATTAGTGTAATTGTGTTGTTATAATATTGATATAAATAGAGAGAAAATAGGGGGAGAGAGATGAAATAATAAATCAAATATTTATATATTTTAAAAAAAAAATTATCAATGATAGATATAGAGAGAAAATAGGGGAGAGACGAGGAAAGTAATGGAAAAAAAGAGAGAGATAGGGAGAGTGTCTCTTGAAATCTTTTCATATTTGATTAGATATATAACTGACAATCAATAATGCATAATTTAAGGGGATGAATATTTAGGTAAAACAATTTTGATTTTATTTGAATTTTATACCTAAACACAATAAATTTTATTAAAATTGAACTTAATAGTGTAAATAACTTATCAATACATTTTTCCTTAAATAAGTCTAAAAAATTGTATACATACCCAAAAAACCCTATTTGAATCACAGTTAAACCTAAAATCCAATTCATTTTCACATGTACTCTCTAAATTGGTCGAAAATTCAAACTGCGATCTGAATATAAAGTTGAAAAAATTTCAATCACACGTGTTCTAGTTTACTATATCCTCAAAAATATTCTCTCTATTTTCAAAATATTCACTAACACCCCCTGTCAGATTAAAAGTGTTAACTAAAATACAATTTTACTAAATTACTCATGATATATTTTAGAAAAAAAATTCATCCACACCTCCTTTAGATAGACATACCTTCAATGAAACCTCTTTATTTTTTAATTTTTTTTTACAAATTAAAATTTTGGTCAATTAAAATTGAATTAGAACTAATTAAAATTTATTTTTTATGTATTAAAATTTGAGTCGAATAAAAATTAAATTTTTTCCTATTAAAATTTGAGTCAGTTAAAATTTATTTTTAATCGGCTATAATCAAATTTTAATCAACTTGTATTGAATTTTAATTAACCAGAATTTTAATACATAAAAAATATAAATTTTAATTGATTCGAATTTTAATACGAAAAAAATAAATTTTAGTCAACTTAAATAGATTTTTAATTGACATGAATTTTTACAAGTAAAAAGATATAAAATTTACTCAACTCAAAGCAAATTTTAATTGGCGCTAACAGTTTAGAGAAAGCTCAAATCGGTTCGAATTTTAATATGTAAAAAAATAATTTAATAGACTCAAATTTTAATAGGTAAATAAAATAAAATTTAATTAGCTCGAATCGAATTTTAATTGACAAAAAATTTAATATGTAGAAAATTAAACTTTAATCAGCTCGAATTTTATATAGAAAGATTGTTTGAGGTTTTTATTGGGGTAATTTTGATATTTATATGAATTTTTTTTGTTAAAAATAGTGATTTAACAATAGGGGGTGTCAACGATGTTTAACTATAAACTAAAAAAAGTGTCAGTAATGTTCGAATAATAAAGGGAATATTTTTGAAGATATGATAAACTAGAGGAAGTATGACTACAATTTTTTATATAAAAAATTAATAAATTATATTTGAATTAGGTTACAAAGCGGTTTGTACCTGAAAACTTAAAAAATGTTAATTTGTGCATTTAAAGATCAATTGTTTGAAATTGTACACGCAAATGAAATTATTGGTATTTGGTAATAACGTGACGTGACCCCAGCAGCAACTCCTGTTGTGATTTTTCCTCAATTTGACAGCAATGTGAGATGCACATAATGAGTTATGTTGAATTATTGCCCTTCCCTAATTTTATAATTTTTTGAGATGCAAATTGCCATTTGTCCTTTGAATTGTAATTAATTTGATTAAATATATGCATATATACATAATTTGAATCGAATTATAATAAATATTAATATATTAGTCATTATCTGTACTTGAAGACACTCTTAACACAAAAAATTCGCCAGCAAATAGGACAACCAATAATGTGTTAAATAAAAAAAGTTCAACGGTTGAAATTAAGAAGAACCATATCACATTAATACAATCAAAGAATCTCTATGAATTTAAATTAACATCATTACAAAATTATAATGCTGATGGTGTTAATTAAATGGATGAGCAGAATGTGTAAATTATACAAATCAGTCTGGATCTAAGTGTTACAAAGTTCGTGAGAATTATGATTAGGTTTTGAGGGAGTTGGGATGACTTGGGCATTGAAAGTATAGTGGTTCATCGAGGTCGGAAGCTCGACTAATCCACTCTTAAATTGAATCTCTTGCTCCTTTGATCTATATTGATGGCTACTATAAATTACAGAATGATTCTCGTACAATCGGGGTTCCTCTTCTTCAATGGAGACATTGTCCAGTATTTATAATCCGATTCCTATTTCTAAGGGATCTACAACGAAATCTTTGTCCTTTATTTGCGGGGTTTTCCTTGATTTTGGGAGAGAATCTTAGGTGTTTGAGAGTTTCGTGCCTTAATCATTGTCTTCTGTTGTTTTGGAAATGCCTTATGTTAGCCATCTGTTCCTTTCTTGTTTCCTTTGCTCATTCATACGAAGGGAGCTCAAGCTCTAGGCCTCTGAGCTTTGGGTTCTTTATTCGACTTTCTGGTCTAACCTCACTTCCTGAGCCCGTACTTAATTAAAATCATTTTCATGTATCATCAAATGCCATAAATTTTTTCATGGCGACTCTTCTTTCCACCAAATTAGTGTTCATTTTTTTCAACCATCTGACTAAATCTAATTAATAGGTTGTCTAATTTTAATAAGGAATATCATTAAAAACACATTATTAAATCATTGAATCCAATCAACACAAATTAATCACATTGAATTACAAATCAAATTTCCAAAAAATATAAAAAATTCAATTGAACTAACATTGCCTAGTAAATTTGCTTGTAGCTGCAAAGAAAATTGATTTAAATTCTCTGCCATCGTGACTTCTCGGATTTTATAGAAATATTCTTACACTACAATTAAACTAAATCAACAAAAAAATTTAACTGACTTTTTATCGTTTCGGTATCTATTTTATACTATTCAAGAATTCAAAAAAATATGAACATTAGTAAAGGGAAAGTGATACAAATAAAGAAAAAAAATGTTCCAGTTGGTTTTCAAACTATATAAATATATATATATTGCAATTGGTTTCACTTATTTTTTATATTGGTAATTAGCTTGANCTATATAAATATATATATATTGCAATTGGTTTCACTTATTTTTTATATTGGTAATTAGCTTGACTTTAAATTTTTTAATTTTTTTGTATAATTGGTATCACTTATTATTTTTTTATTGGTTATTAGCTTGACTTTGATTTTTTTTAAAATTTTTTTTGTTCAATTGGTATCACTTATTTTTTTTATTGGCGATTAGCTTGATTCTGATATTTTTTTTTTGTGCAATTGATATCACTTATTATTTTTTTTATTGATGAGTCGGTTGACTTTGAATTTTTTTGAGTAAAGAAGTGAAAGAGTTTTAATTTGTATCTATAAAGTATATTAGAACATAAAAGAATACAAATTCAAATAATCAATCAAAAATATTAATAGATACCCAACTCAATATATTTTAATTAAAATCTAATCCTGAAAACAAATAGTTAATACAGCATTGATACCATATAATCGTGGACGTATAGTATTACCAGCCAATTTTAAACTAGCAAAAAAGATTTAATAAACTCAACTACAAATCCAATGATTTAGTATTCTAATAGGTTAATGGATATGTTTTAATTTCGAAAAACTTGAAGGCACAAAGTGTCATTTGCCGTCGAAGCAAACCCTACAAAACCCTAATAGAAGTCGGCTACATATATATTCGTTGCGCCTCAGTCCTTGGCCGAAAGAACCAATCTTCCGATTCAGGATACCAGTCTCAAGGTGAATCAAACTGAATTTGGCCGTTGTATTCTCTTCCATTTCTTATATTTTATGAATATACGCATTTATAAATTGATTATTCTGAGATTGTTGTGGGAGATTTATGCATAGGTTTTTTTTTCATATGTGTGCTGATTTTGGATATTGATTTCGTTATGAACTTTGATTTTTTTAATGGAAAAGATTCTTTTAGATATTTTTATTTGATGGGTTGTTTGTCCGCTGAGAAATTGAAGGGAAGGGAGCGAAAACTGGGTTATAGATTATGCGTTTAGATTGGTTAGTGATAAATTGAAAAGCTTAGCTCTGCGAGTTTTTTTTTTTGTGGGGGGGTGGGTGGTGGGTGGGTGTTTCTCGATTACTGAACTGGGTCTTTAAGCAGATTCAGAAAATGAAAAAATCTGGGTTTTGAGTGTTATTTTTATTTTCTATGAATAAATCTGTATTCTGTTATGTGGTTCACAAAAGGATCGGTGTATCAACACAGACCTTCATGGTAAAATGTGCATCTAAATTCAATAAGCCATTTACGGGAAATGTTTTAGCTGAAAATATCTGGCCAGATAGATAGTTTTCTGGAAATTATTTGCGGTCATATTGTATTGAAATAAATGCCTAGTAACTTTGGAGCAATTCTGTGCAAACTCTGGTTGAAAAAACAGAGCCTTTAAGGTTCTAGTTGTTACTGAAGTTGAAGTAGTTGTCATTGCTATTTTCTTTTCTAGTTGCCACTTTGCAGTTTTGACAAGCTGTACCAATACACTTGTTCAATGGAACGATAAAGTCGTGTTGTGTTTTACTTCTGCTTTTACAGAGATATGGGTGAAGAAGTGAAAGCAGTGGTTCCGGAATCGCTCTTGAAGAAGCAGGTGAGGAAAGAGCAATGGGCTCTTGCAAAGAAGCAAGAGCTCGAAGCTGCAAAGAAAAAGAATGCTGAAAACCGGAAGTTGATCTACAACCGAGCTAAGCAGTACTCAAAAGAGTATGAGGAGCAGGTATTCGATAATCCATTACTCTTGGGGTTCAGAAAATGAGATGACTGATTTGAGTCTATAATTATGTGAATGGTTTTTCTGTTTCTGTTTTCTAGGAAAAGGAGTTGATTCAGTTAAAGCGCGAGGCGAGATTGAAGGGAGGCTTCTATGTTAACCCTGAGGCAAAACTCTTGTTCATTATTAGAATCCGCGGGTAAGCCATTTCTTAATATCGGTTGAGATTATAAATTAATGTGATGCGGATGTTTTAATGTTTTCAAAATTCAGGATCAATGCAATGCACCCAAAGACCAAGAAGATTTTGCAGCTTCTGCGATTAAGACAGGTAACAATAGTTTTTTGATCTATATATGTATGCAAAACAATGGGATACACATTCGACATGTTGTATCCATTTATTTTGTTCTTGGTGGGCTCAAAGCTGTACCTATTGTGACATGCTAACCTTAGCGTGATACTTGTTAATGCACTCTTACTATATGAGGTCCACACTTCTCTGTCCTTGACTGAACTATCCTGTGGCTGATGAAAAATTTTGATTTCAGACAAAGAGTTAGTTGTCACTTGTCAGATATGTTTATTCAGAAGAGTTGGTTTTCAAAAATAGTTTGGTGTGAACAATTTCATGGATGAGAACTTTGTTTGTTATTAGGCTGAAGCAGCAAATAAAGACTATTTACTTGTACTGTTGTACCAGTTGGAAAAGTCAAAAACATTGCTGAAAAAAATGTCCATGGAAATATTGAGCTATATTTGTGAATTCTGTTGCTGCTGCAGTACTCCTCTCTCGTTAGGACTAGCAAATTCATTATCTTTTATAAAATTGGGTTAGTGTTAGAATCTCTATACTCACACCCTCTCAAACATATTTATTTAGTGCCCCCTCCACTCTATTTGCTCCCATGCACTGGATTTTGGTGATTTGTGATTTGTGAAATGTAGAAATTGTTTATCCTTTCGATATCTTAAAGAGGCAAGTGATGGTCCCATTAGGGATTCTTAAGAATTTTTATGGATAAATTTTTTTTCTAGGGTAGAGCTGCATCAGGTTGTTCAGCAAATACCTTAATATTTAAGGATGTAATAGATTTTTCCTGGTTCCTGGAGGAGTGTTTTTTCGTTGTTTCCCTGCCAATTATGTTGTATGTCAGGAAAGCCTTTGATACTTCGCATATCCAGGAATACTCTAGATATGCCACATCTTGTTACCCGTGGTTTGCCTAAGAAGTCGGAGACAATTGGAGAGGTCATCAATGTTTCTTTTTCCTAGAGTGTAGTTTCTCACGAAAAGCAGAATTGTTAGAGCTTGCTTGGTAATAGCATATAGTAAAGCATAAATATGTATGAACGAAAGAGAGAATTAAAAAGATCTATTTTTTGAATTGCAATTATATATGTTTTCTTTCATCCCAATTTTCCTTTCCGAAGAGAAAGGGGTGAAAGATTATTTCTTTCTTGATAGTTACTTATTGGTATTTTAGTCAAGAGACTTGAGTGTATCTAAAGCTGAATTGACAAATGGTTTACATTGCATTGTAACTCTATTCTGGTTGTTCAGTAGATACCTTGCCCTGGGGGGTGTTTGATTTTTACTTTTTCCTGATGGGGGTTTTCTATATTTCTCATGCTTCCTTCTGTGAAGCTTTCCCTCTAAGATTGTACAGTGGGATTGCAACTTCCACTGTCAACTTGTGTGAGATTTGTCTTTGTTGCTGGGTACCCAATCTTTGTCTTTACGGTGTTTCTATGTTCAAACCTTCTGACTGTTGAGCCGATACATTTGTTTTTGGTTTGCAGATCTTTAATGGTGTGTTTTTGAAAGTAAACAAGGCAACAATGAACATGCTGCATAGGGTTGAGCCTTATGTGACATTTGGGTATGATTCATAATTTTGAGACATTTGAGTGTTCATAATCTATGCCACCTGTTTACTTATTTAATCTTTTCAGGTATCCCAACCTGAAAAGTGTCCGAGAATTGATTTACAAGAGGGGTTATGGGAAACTAAACAAGCAGAGAACTGCATTGACTGACAACTCTATTGTTGAAATGGTATGTTGCGAGCAAATTTGAGTTCATCTTCGGTGTTAGTGGTGTCAGTTTTTCATCTGACTCTGTATCCTCAACAATTTACTCTTATCATTACAGGCTCTGTCGTTTTTTCATCTTACTGTTTCCTCAACAATTAACTGTATCATTACAGGCCCTGGGTCAGTTTGGGATCATTTGCGTGGAAGATCTGGTACATGAGATTATGACTGTCGGACCCCACTTTAAGGAGGCGAACAACTTCTTGTGGCCATTCCAATTGAAGGCACCACTGGGTGGTCTGAAAAAGAAGAGGAATCACTATGTTGAAGGAGGCGATGCCGGAAACCGTGAAGATTACATTAACGAGCTCATCAGGAGGATGAACTAGGCTCCTATCCAACTTGGCTTTTTTCAATGTGTAGTTAGTTATTGATACTGTACTTTTTTTTGAGGCAATCAAGCATCTGTTCTTTGTTTGAGTTTTTGACGAAGCAGAGTATCCTAAAGCATAAAAGACATTGTTATTTAAAAAATGATTTTGGATGTTTTTGAAATCTCGAATGGTTCGATTGATAGTTTCTTTCGTGACAATTTTGAATTGTTACTCTTCAACTTGTACAAGAAACATAATTAGTTTAAAGGACTAAAAATTTTTTAGTGCATTATTTTGGTCATCTATTCGATATTTTTATTTGTTTTGAAAATAGAATAGAAAGGACTAAAAAGTTTAAAAATTAATTTTTAAAAATATTATTCAAAATATATTAAGGATTTGAAATATCTTAAAACAACTGTAGAAATTGTGTTGAAATATTAAGAAATACTTCGAAACATTAATAATTACGAGAGTTTTGATTCCATCATTTGTTTGTCTATATTTTCTTGAAAACGAAAATTTGTTGATTGTTTCGATTGTATAAATCTTTTCAAAACAAAAATTTAATTCTTATTTATGTTTTTTTTTTTCATCAGAACGTTCTAGCTTATGTTTACTTTGTTGATCTGTTCTCCTTATTTGACCGCCATCTAAATCTTTTAAGATCGAAGTTTCAAAATATACAGTTAAATATTGTATACAACTCCAATAAAACTCTCTTTCTAATTGGTCTGTTTGATTAAGAAGAAAAAAATAATGGAAAGTGAAGTGAAAAAAAAAAAAATGATAGAAAATGTATTTTAATGCATATATTTGATTAAAATGAAAATTTTACGTGAAAACTTTAAAAAAATTTCATTTTAATGTTTGAAAGAAAGGAAAGTTCTAAATTTTTTTTTATAATTGTCTAAATTACTCTTAATTATATTAAATTAGTCTAAAAGGAAAAAAAATACGTAATTATAATTAAAAGTTAATTTTTTAANAATTGCAATTATATATGTTTTCTTTCATCCCAATTTTCCTTTCCGAAGAGAAAGGGGTGAAAGATTATTTCTTTCTTGATAGTTACTTATTGGTATTTTAGTCAAGAGACTTGAGTGTATCTAAAGCTGAATTGACAAATGGTTTACATTGCATTGTAACTCTATTCTGGTTGTTCAGTAGATACCTTGCCCTGGGGGGTGTTTGATTTTTACTTTTTCCTGATGGGGGTTTTCTATATTTCTCATGCTTCCTTCTGTGAAGCTTTCCCTCTAAAGATTGTACAGTGGGATTGCAACTTCCACTGTGAACTTGTGTGAGATTTGTCTTTGTTGCTGGGTACCCAATCTTTGTCTTTACGGTGTTTCTATATTCAAACCTTCTGACTGTTGAGCCGATACATTTGTTTTTGGTTTGCAGATCTTTAATGGTGTGTTTTTGAAAGTAAACAAGGCAACAATGAACATGCTGCATAGGGTTGAGCCTTATGTGACATTTGGGTATGATTCATAATTTTGAGACATTTGAGTGTTCATAATCTATGCCACCTGTTTACTTATTTAATCTTTTCAGGTATCCCAACCTGAAAAGTGTCCGAGAATTGATTTACAAGAGGGGTTATGGGAAACTAAACAAGCAGAGAACTGCATTGACTGACAACTCTATTGTTGAAATGGTATGTTGCGAGCAAATTTGAGTTCATCTTCGGTGTTAGTGGTGTCAGTTTTTCATCTGACTCTGTATCCTCAACAATTTACTCTTATCATTACAGGCTCTGTCGTTTTTTCATCTTACTGTTTCCTCAACAATTAATTGTATCATTACAGGCCCTGGGTCAGTTTGGGATCATTTGCGTGGAAGATCTGGTACATGAGATTATGACTGTCGGACCCCACTTTAAGGAGGCGAACAACTTCTTGTGGCCATTCCAATTGAAGGCACCACTGGGTGGTCTGAAAAAGAAGAGGAATCACTATGTTGAAGGAGGCGATGCCGGAAACCGTGAAGATTACATTAACGAGCTCATCAGGAGGATGAACTAGGCTCCTATCCAACTTGGCTTTTTTCAATGTGTAGTTAGTTATTGATACTGTACTTTTTTTTGAGGCAATCAAGCATCTGTTCTTTGTTTGAGTTTTTGACGAAGCAGAGTATCCTAAAGCATAAAAGACATTGTTATTTAAAAAATGATTTTGGATGTTTTTGAAATCTCGAATGGTTCGATTGATAGTTTCTTTCGTGACAATTTTGAATTGTTACTCTTCAACTTGTACAAGAAACATAATTAGTTTAAAGGACTAAAAATTTTTTAGTGCATTATTTTGGTCATCTATTCGATATTTTTATTTGTTTTGAAAATAGAATAGAAAGGACTAAAAAGTTTAAAAATTAATTTTTAAAAATATTATTCAAAATATATTAAGGATTTGAAATATCTTAAAACAACTGTAGAAATTGTGTTGAAATATTAAGAAATACTTCGAAACATTAATAATTACGAGAGTTTTGATTCCATCATTTGTTTGTCTATATTTTCTTGAAAACGAAAATTTGTTGATTGTTTCGATTGTATAAATCTTTTCAAAACAAAAATTTAATTCTTATTTATGTTTTTTTTTTTCATCAGAACGTTCTAGCTTATGTTTACTTTGTTGATCTGTTCTCCTTATTTGACCGCCATCTAAATCTTTTAAGATCGAAGTTTCAAAATATACAGTTAAATATTGTATACAACTCCAATAAAACTCTCTTTCTAATTGGTCTGTTTGATTAAGAAGAAAAAAATAATGGAAAGTGAAGTGAAAAAAAAAAAAATGATAGAAAATGTATTTTAATGCATATATTTGATTAAAATGAAAATTTTACGTGAAAACTTTAAAAAAATTTCATTTTAATGTTTGAAAAAAAGGAAAGTTCTAAATTTTTTTTTATAATTGTCTAAATTACTCTTAATTATATTAAATTAGTCTAAAAGGAAAAAAAATACGTAATTATAATTAAAAGTTAATTTTTTAAAAAAAGTAGCTTGAAACCTAATTCTAGGACAATCACCATTACAAAGGCCTTTGGGTAAAATGAGAAGTTAGTTATAGATCACAACTTTCTTGCATTTTTTTGTGTTTTTTACAAGAAAAAAAATTGGTTATTTATGAAAAAATTCAAGCATGAAAGAAAATTAATTTTTCTATAATTTTTCTTTTCATGCTAATCAAACACATGAAAATTTTAAAAAATTTCTCTTTCTTACATTTTCTACCATTCTCCCGCTGAACAAACAAACTCTCGAGAATAGTTTTTAATCGTTATTTTTTTTATTCAATAACAATTAAATAGAGATTGATTTTGATGTCAAATTATGGACGAGTCAAATTAAATTATCTATTTCAATTTTTACTAGTAGAGAGTCTATTGAAAATGGACTGTTGACGTCGAATATCCATTATAAATAATTAATGTCCTTCGCTTTAAATTGTATAGATAAAAAGGAACAAGAAGGGAAGCCCTCCCATCTTTCACATATCTTATTCGTTCGACATAGCATGAATCTTTGAACTTGAAGTCATGAATTGCATTGCTTTGAAAAACGTGTGATTCATTAAATGAAAGATGGTAATCGAATAATTAGAGATGTTGATGGGCTAAGCCCAAGGGTCCAACTCATGATACGAGCTCAGTTTAAATTAAGAGTCCAACTCTTAGAGATTCAGCGTCCAAAGTGGTGCACGCTCGATCAAGCTCATCAAGTTGAAGGAGCTATATCAGCAGGGGAGCATGCAAGGATCATCCAAGAGTTTCTTCCTAACCACTTTGGAGTAAGGGTCATCCAAGAGTTTCTTCTTAGCCACCTTGGAGTAAGGGTCATCCAAAAGCCCCATCCTCGTCGTCTTGAAGAGAGTTAACTCTCATCTCATCTTTTGACTTAGTCCTATGGAGAGTATTGTAAGTCTCTCGCCCGTTGAGAAGAGGTCGTCACCTCTGCCTTCGTCGGATTAACTATTTAAGTACTATTAAATTACTTCAATCCGTTATGACCGTCAGACTAGTTATTCAATTACCATGTGTTATGAGGCGATTACAAATTGTAAGTCCCACAAATACTTGGGGGCATCATCACACTTTGTCGAGCACAACTCTCCTATCCTTCTCTAAGCTTGTAACTCTTAGCTCTTCTTACACACTTGAATTAATAAAATACTCGGCGACCCTTGCCATTTAAAGTGAACGTAAGTCATATCGATCGAACAACTATAAACCTTGTTTTTCTTTTGTCTTTATCTCTACCTCTATTTATTTACTGCATTTAGTACTACTTACTTGACAAGTAATGTGCAAATCAAATTGTGCATCATCAAATGTCACAAGCAAAGATCGTATGACCTAATTGATTGCAAGTTTAAGAAGTTATGATACTCTTTAAATCGTTCTATAATATTTCAGTGGTTGCCTACCTCATTTTGCTAAAATTCTGCCAATTTAGCAAGACACTTTATTTTTTAGTATTTTCCTTTAAAATTGTTGAACACTTTTAATATCTCACCACACTAATTTTATAGCTCAACTAAAGCTGCTCGACTTTTTTCATAGTTTTTGAGCATTTTTATTAAATAAGATAGGGTGCTTTGAGCGCTCTTGCGCGATACAATTGAAGCAACGCAAAATCAAAAGAGGTTTTTTCTTCGAGGATACATCAAGTGACACAATGTCAAGTGTGCTCCGCATCAAAAAGAGAAAATGGAGCTGACTAAGTTGTCCAAAAAACTTAAGTGAGTAAGGTAACATATAGTTACAAGAGTTCAATATTAGGAAAAAATAACCTCCATGAAAAGCATTAAGTTAATTTAATTAATTGACACCCTAAATAAAAATAATAAACTTTCAAATCTAAGTGATTGTCCCTCTAAAATAAATTTTTCTTTTTTGAAAATGCAAGAAAAAAAAAATGGAAGAAGTAGTGATAGAGACGAAATTATAATTTTATATTAAAAGGGTTGTTTGTGGAAATTTTATAATTTCTAAAAACTCAAAGGCACAAAGTGTTATTTGCCATCATCGAAGGCAAACCCTACAAAACCCTAGTAGAAGTCGGCTTAAGATATAATATTCGTTGCGCCTTAGTCCTCGACCGAAAGAACCAATCTCCCGATTCAGTGTAGCAGGCTGAAAGGTGAATCCATCTGAATTTGGCTGTTGTATTCTCTTCAATTACTTATATTTTATGAATACACGCATTTATAAATTGATAATTCTTAGATTGTTGTGGAGATTTATGCATAAGTTTTTCTGTATGTGTGCTGTTTTTGGATATTGATTTCGTTATGAACTTTGAATTTTTTTTTTTTAAACGAAGAAGATTCTTTTAGATATTTTTGTTTGGTGGGTTGTTTAGCTGCTGAGAAATTGAAGGAAAAAGGTGCGAACCTGAGTTCTAGATTATTCGTTTATTTGGGTTACTGATTAATTGGATAGCTTTGCTTACCGAAGAGCCATGGGAGACAGAAACTTTTTTTTTTCTCGATTACCCGAACTGGGTTTTTAAGTAGATTCAGAAAATGAAAAACCTCTCTTTTGAGTATTATTTTTATTTTAAATGGATATATGTGTATTCTGTTGTGTATATGGTTCACAAAGAGGATCAGTGTATCAACGCCGACCTTCATGATAAAATGTGCATCTAAATTCAATTTGCCATTTATGGAAATGTTTTGTTTGAAAATATTCTGGCCAAATAGATAGTTTTCTGCAAATTAATTGGAGTCAGATGGTATAGAAATAAATGCCTCCTTTAAGGTTCTAGCTGTTATTAGGTCAGAAGGGGCTATCATTGCCATTTTCTTTTCTAGTTGTCACTTTGCAGTTGTGACAAGCTGTACTATTACACTTCTTCAATGGAACAATAAAGTATGCTTGTGTTTTACCTTCTGTTTTTATAGAGAGATGGGGGAAGATGTGAAAGCAGTGGTTCCGGAATCGGTCTTGAAGAAGCAGATGAGGAATGAGCAATGGGCTCTTGCAAAGAAGCAAGAGCTCGAAGCTGCAAAGAAAAAGAATGCTGAAAACCGGAAGTTGATCTACAACCGAGCTAAGCAGTACACAAAAGAGTATGAGGAGCAGGTATTCGATAATCCATTACTCTTGGGTTTCAGAAAATGGGATGACTGACTTGAGTCTCTAATTATGTGAAGGGTATTTCTGTTTCTGTTTTCTAGGAAAAGGAGTTGGTTCAGTTAAAGCGTGACGCGAGATTGAAGGGAGGCTTCTATGTTAACCCTGAGGCAAAACTGTTGTTCATTATTAGAATCCGTGGGTAAGCCATTTTTTAGTATCGGTTAAGTTTATAAATTAATGACTGTGTTGTGATGCTGACGGTTTTTATGATTTCAAAATTCAGGATCAATGCAATGCACCCAAAGACCAAGAAGATTTTGCAGCTTCTGCGATTAAGACAGGTAACCATTGTTGTTTTTGATCTATATATGTATTCTAAAGAATGGGATACACATTCTACATTGTTGTATCTAGGGCTGTTAGTCGAACGAGCCCGAGTCGAGTTTGAGCTGAGCTTGAAAAGCTTGTTTCTTAATCGAGCTTTAAAAATTGTTCAAACTCGGCTCGTTTAGGAAACAAATCGAGCCTGAACGAGCCGAACCTAAGTCGAANTACACATTCTACATTGTTGTATCTAGGGCTGTTAGTCGAACGAGCCCGAGTCGAGTTCGAGCTGAGCTTGAAAAGCTTGTTTCTTAATCGAGCTTTAAAAATTGTTCAAACTCGGCTCGTTTAGGAAACAAATTGAGCCTGAACGAGCCGAACCTAAGTCGAACCCGAGTATTTGCACATAAACGAGCCGAGCTTGTTGAGTTTGAGCCGAACTTGTAGGGCTTGTTTTCTAAACGAGCCTAAAAATTTGTTCAAGTTCAGACTCGTTTAGAAAACAAACCGAGTCTAAATGAGCTGAACNGAGCTTGTTGAGTTTGAGCCGAACTTGTAGGGCTTGTTTTCTAAACGAGCCTAAAAACTTGTTCAAGTTTAGACTCGTTTAGAAAACAAACTGAGTCTAAATGAGCTGAATTCAAGCCAAGCTCGAGTAGCTCAGTTTGATTAACAGCCCTAGTTGTATCTATTAATGTTGTCCTTGNGAGTCTAAATGAGCTGAACTCAAGCCAAGCTCGAGTAGCTCAGTTTGATTAACAGCCCTAGTTGTATCTATTAATGTTGTCCTTGTCGGGCACAATGCATGTACTCACTATGACATGCCAACCTTAGCATGATACTTTTTCATGCACTCTTACTCTATGAGGTCCACATTGTTCTGTTCTTTACCGCACTATTCTGTTGCTGATGAAAAATTTTGATTTTGGACAAAAAGTTTGGTGTCAGATATGTTTATTCAGAAAGCTGGTGTTCAAAAATGGTTTGGTGTAAACAATTTCATGGATGAGGCCTGCGTTTGTTATTCGGCTGAAGCAGCTACCAAAAAATATGTACTTGTACCTGTTATAAAATTGAGAACATTGCTGAAAATATTGTCCATACAATATTGAGCTATATTTGTGAATTTAGTTGCTTCAACGTTACTCCTTTCTTATTGGAACTAACAAATTGGTTATCTTTTATAAAATTGGGTTAGTGTTAGAATCTCTCTGTCTATGCTCACACCTTCACACACATATTTTAGTTGGTGGCCCCTTTTGGTGAGACACCACTCTATTTACTCACATGCACTGGATTTATGTGATTCTTGAAACTTACAAATTGTTTAGCCTTTTGAAAAAGAAAGAGGCAATGGTGAGGGTCCCATTGGGGATATTATGAAGAATATTTGTTGATAAATGGTTTTTCTAGGGTAGAGGTGCGTCAGGTTGTTCAGTAAATGTATTTTTATTATTTATGGATGTAATAGATTTTTCCTGGTTACTGGTGGAGTATTTTTTCCCTGTATCCCTGCCAATTATGTTTTACTTCAGAGAAGCCTTTGATACTTGAGATATATCCAGGAATAATCTAGCTACACAATGTCTAGTTACCTGTGCTTTTGGCTAAGAACGCGGAGACCACTGGGGGGAGGTCGATGTTTCTTTTCCCTAGAGTGTAGTTTCTCACAAAAAGCAGAATTGTTAGAGCTTGCTTGCTAATAGCACATAGTAGGCATAAATATGTGTGAAGGAAAGAGAATTAAAAAGATCTCTTTTTTCTATTGCAATTATATTCTTTTTCTTTCATCCCAGTTTTCCTTTCTCAAGAGAAGGGATGGTAGACTTGGTGAAAGATTATTTCCTACTTGATAGTTACGTATTGGTGTTTTAGTCAAGTTTATCTAAAGCTGAATTGACAAATGATCTACATTGGATTGGAGCTGTATTCTGGTTGTTCCGTAGATGCCTTGCTTTGGGGGGTGTTTGATTTTTGCTTGTTCCTGGTGGGGTTTTCTAAGTTTACCATGCTTCTTCTGTGCTGCTTTCCCTTTAAGATTATACAGTGGGATTGCACCTTTCACTGTGAACTTGTATGAGATTCTGATTTGTCTTTGTTGCTAGGTACCCAATCTTTGTCTTTATGGTGTTTCTATATTCAAACCTTCCGATTGTTGAGCCTTTACATTTATTTTTGGTTTGCAGATCTTTAATGGTGTGTTTTTGAAAGTAAACAAGGCAACAATGAACATGCTGCATAGGGTTGAGCCTTATGTGACATTTGGGTATGCATTTTTTTTCCTGTGATTCATAATTTTGAGACATTTGAGGGTTCATCATAATCAAAGCTTACATACAATATTTAATCTTTCCAGGTATCCAAACCTGAAAAGTGTCCGAGAATTGATTTACAAGAGGGGTTATGGGAAACTAAACAAGCAGAGAACGGCATTGACTGACAACTCTATTGTTGAAATGGTATGTTGCGAGCAAAATTGAGTTCATCGTCGGTGTTAGTGGTGTCAGTTTTTCATCTGACTATGTTTCCTCAACAATTTACTCTTATCAATACAGGCTCTGGGTCAATTTGGAATCATTTGCGTGGAAGATCTGGTACATGAGATTATGACTGTCGGACCCCACTTTAAGGAGGCAAACAACTTCCTTTGGCCATTCCAACTGAAGGCACCACTGGGTGGTCTGAAAAAGAAGAGGAATCACTATGTTGAAGGAGGCGATGCCGGAAACCGTGAAGATTACATTAATGAGCTCATCAGGAGGATGAACTAGGCTCCTATCCAACTTGGCTTTGTTCAATGTTTTGTTAGTTATTGATACTATACTTTTTTACGAGGCAGTCAGGCATCTGTTCTTTGCTCAAGTTTTGACAGAGCTCTTATCTTTAAAAGCATAAACGACATTATTTTTGATCAAGTAGGGGTGACTGATCCGAACACTTCTTAATTGGACTGTAGATTCAGATCTCATTTGAATAGTCTTTAGTCACAATCAGACTGAGCTAGAACTTGATTCAAACTTTAATATAAGCTTAAAATTGTACTCGAATTCAACCTAGCTAAAACTCGGGACATAATGTGTTTGAATTTGTAGGATTATATCGTTGAGAATCATATGTTTATGTTCAAAAATATAATAAGATTGAATAAATAGCTAAACGACAAAAACTCATAGCTACGTGTAAACATCTACTCCATGCGCTTGACACGAGTTCTGTAGTCAGTGGTATTGCAAGACGCGTGTACATCCTACACATCGACGACAACGAGTGCAGATATCATATGTAGAGATAGAATGAGAGAAAAGAAAATGTAGAAGCCATGGAAGCGAACAAGGAGGGAAGAGAGCAGCAGCAGCAGCAGCAGCAGGAGCNACGTGTAAACATCTACTCCATGCGCTTGACACGAGTTCTGTAGTCAGTGGTATTGCAAGACGCGTGTACATCCTACACATCGACGACAACGAGTGCAGATATCATATGTAGAGATAGAATGAGAGAAAAGAAAATGTAGAAGCCATGGAAGCGAACAAGGAGGGAAGAGAGCAGCAGCAACAGGAGAGGAAAGCTGCTGATTCTGATGGAAAAACGACGTCGTTGGTTGATCCGATGACTAAGGCTAGGGAAGTGCTTCGGGAAGCTATCATCACCGAAACTGGGGAAGGTGGTGACAATTCTGGGGCTGAGAAAGAAGAAGCGGCGAAGAAACATCCTGACCAATTTCTAGTTTTCTCTAGGGCTGTTGACAACGTTGATTCTTCCCTTGAATGAATCATAGGTCTCCCCGAGAGAGANGTTGGTTGATCCGATGACTAAGGCTAGGGAAGTGCTTCGGGAAGCTATCATCACTGAAACTGGGGAAGGTGGTGACAATTCTGGGGCTGAGAAAGAAGAAGCGGCGAAGAAACATCCTGACCAATTTCTAGTTTTCTCTAGGGCTGTTCACAACGTTGATTCTTCTCTTGAATGAATCATAGGTCTCCCCGAGAGAGAGAGAGAGAGAGAGTTCCCATGATGAATATATGAGGGGGGCACTGTATTTGACATTTTAAGTGACTAATTGAGGCACAAACTGTGTTGGTATATATTATATGTTTTTATTTTGGACTTTTATGATATAGATTTGACATTTTTTGCAAGCTAAATCATTATAATATTCTTTGGTGTAAAATATCNTAAGTGACTAATTGAGGCACAAACTGTGTTGGTATATATTATATGTTTTTATTTTGGACTTTTATGATATAGATTTGAAATTTTTTGCAAGCTAAATCATTATAATATTCTTCGGTGTAAAATATTATTTATGAAAAGAGTAATGCTACATTGTGGTATTATGAAGTCTAACCAATAGCATGTTAAGTTTCTCAAGTTTTTTTTTTTTTAAATAAAAAAAGACTAATCATCGTTATTCGAATACCAACCCAATAGATGGGATACACCATCAATTACAAAGACAAAATAGATTTCATTATATAGATAAAGTGTAACAAGTATTACTTTAAAATATTTATATAATAAAGTATAATACAATTTAAATTTAAAAAAATAAATAAATTGACATTTATTATTTGCGATTGAGATTTTTTAAAATTTTACTTTAAAATTAATCTGATGATTAATATTAAAATTTCAAATTTAATAAGAAAAATAGATCGCTAAGGGTGTGTTTGAAGTAACTTTTTNTAAAAAAAGACTAATCATCGTTATTCGAATACCAACCCAATAGATGGGATACACCATCAATTACAAAGACAAAATAGATTTCATTATATAGATAAAGTGTAACAAGTATTACTTTAAAATATTTATATAATAAAATATAATACAATTCAAATTTAAAAAAATAAATAAATTGACATTTATTATTTGCGATTGAGATTTTTTTAAATTTTACTTTAAAATTAATCTGATGATTAATATTAAAATTTCAAATTTAATAAGAAAAATAGATCGCTAAGGGTGTGTTTGAAGTAACTTTTTAAATATATTTTTAGGAGTTATTTTTCCTAAATACCTTAAAAAAATAGTGTTTGAAACTACTCCACCATTATTTCTACAACCATCAGCTCCACCGCTCCTTCACCATCACCACTACTACCACCATTGCCACCGTCACCACCCCCCACCACCACCACTACCCCACCACCATCACGACCACTACCACTCCCACCACCACTACCACTACCCCCACCTCCACGACCATCATAATTACCACCACTGCCCTACTCGCACCCCCACCCCACCCTCTCTGCCCTATTGTCACCACCACCACCACCATCGCTACCCACAACTGATTAGTACCATCGTCGTCCAGTACCACCATCATCATCATCTTAATTTTATATTTATTATCATTACCACTATCATCCCATTACTACCTATCGTCCCCCACCATCGCCACCAGTCACTGGCACCCACCCCCACCACACCTACTACCACCACCCGTCTTCACCTACCATTGCAACCACCAACTGTCATCTACCCTCATCACACTTACCATCGCCGCCATTCGTCACCACTCATCACACTGTCGCCTAGAAGCACCCATCGTTGCCCACCACCATCGTCATCGCCCTCCACCACTGTTGCTAACCACCATCACCGTAGTCCACCATCTCCTACCTCTACCACCACCACCGCAGTCACTCACGACTGCCACTACCATCATCGTCACCCAAAAATTCACCACCACCATTACCGTTGTCATTCACAGCTGCCACTACTACTATGGTTGTTTGCCACCCACCACAACAATCACCGTTTTCCACCATCACCATTGCTGCCCACGACACTAACACCGCTCACCTTTATTATAATCGATACTTAAATTTCTTTATTTCTTCTTTATATTTGTGATTTGATTTTAGGTGTAAATACAAATATGTTTATTGTTAATAATTTTTTTTTTATTTTGTGCCTTCACAGAAAATAACTATTATTCATATAAATGACCTAAAAGAACCAATTGAAACTGAACATAGAATTATGTCCAAAATCAAGCCATCAACATGCTTGTACAAAGAGATATAGAAAGAGAGTGTATAGAAGATGTGGTCCATTTATCCTAGTTTAGAAAGAAAATCACAGAAAACAAAAGGGGAATTAACTGTGGTTCTTCACTCTTCATTAGCCAAAAATTTATCGTGATTCTTTACTCTTCATCAACAATAACTTAATGTATAGACTAGAAAAAAAAAATTAATGTATAGAATATACATACATCTGATGCTACAAATCGAGAAACCTAAAACAACGCATGTGAAACATTGAGAATTAAAATTTTTAATTAGTCAATTATAAAATTAATAATACATTTTAGTTAGGTTTGAGAATTATGTCAGGTCTTAGGTTTATGTAGAAAATCACTCAACTCATATATGACTCGTTTCATAGAACATACCTTATTTATTTAATACGTCACACAACACGACCATTGTCACTTGAAAATTCTACAGTACAAAAACAAAACCCCAATTATGCAACATAGTAGGTAATTGAGTAATAAGTGAACAATCGTGTGATAAATAGGTAACTAAGTGATATATCAATTTATTAAATGGGTATTCGAGTGAGAAACGGGTCAAGGTATTCCACCTAAAAAATAACTTGTTTATTACACGATTATTATGGCATGAAATAAAATTGACTTTAGAGCTTCAGGTAGGTAGGTAAAACTAAATTTATAGCATTACTTAATTAGAAAAATCAAATGTATTGTCATTTGTAAAAAGTTTAAGGATTTTCAATCAGATTTTTTTCACTTTTTTTTTTTTCGAAAAGTAAAGATTTTTCTTACTTTTGTTGACATTTTATAGTAGTACTAGTTATTACTTATGTTTGAAGGCACAAAGTAATAAAAAATGGTAAACAATAAATATATTTGTATTCATATTCAAAATCAAATCACAAATATAAAGTAAAGATAAAAGAATTTAAGCATCGATTTGTAATGCCGGTGAGAGGTGGTGGGTGACAGTGACGGTGGCAAGAAAAAGTGATGGTTGTGGTGGGTAACAATGACTGTGGTGGCAGCGGCGATGGTGATGGTGGCGGTGACGATGATGGTGGGCGTGTCAGTGGTGGAGGCAGTAGCGGTAGGGGTGGCAATGGCGACGATGGTGGTGGTGGCGGTGACAACAATGGTGGCGACAACGGGGGTGGTGGCAAAGGTGATGGTGGGGATAGTGGTGGCGGCGGCGATTGTGGTGGGGGTGGCAGTGACTGTGTCGGTGGTGATGGTAGATGTATTGATGTGACGGTTTCAAACAAGAATTTTTTAAAAATATTTATGAGAAATAATTTCTAAAAATACTTTTAAAAAGTCAATCCAAACACACCTTTAGGGGCCTATTTTTCCTATTAAATTTAGGATGTTAATATTAACCATTAGATTAACTTTAAAGTAAAATTTAAAGCGATCTCAACTGCGAATAGCAAAAATAATTTCGTTTATCTTTTGAGATTTGAATTGTAAGCTACTTTATTATATAGATAGATATAGATTTTTGTAGTGGGTGATCAAATGATTTTTCAAAGGGGTGGGATAGTTCAAATGGTGAAAAAGTGAGCGTAAATTTAGATGTGCAGAGTTTGACAATTCGCAAGGTTAAGAGAATTTAATTTTTGTGAATATTTTAGTTTTGACGTTTAGATGATCTCTCTTTAATAAAAAAAATTAATTAAAGTGCAACTTTATTTGAATTTTTGACTGTTTGATTAAAAAAAAGAAATATGGTCAATGGGTGGTGGTTCTTTAAATTGGTAAATTTAATGTAGAAGAGAGAATATTAATTAAAAGTTTACCACTTTAAATCAATTTTATAGTAAGAGTATTCGTTTTTTTTCAGTCTACCGACACTCCTTCACTTTTGAAAAATAACATTTAACGCTTATTAATAACCAGATGTTGTTAATAAATATATTTTTTTATCGTAAATTTTATTGTTAAAAAATAAATAAGTTAATTAATAACTTTAACCCTTGTCCATACCCTTGTCCAGACCCGCATCCATATCCTCTATCCATACTGCTGACATGACGGCTCCCAGGGTGTTTTTGGTTGGTTTTTTTTGGAGAGTTTTGGATCGATCCGAACTGTTTTAAACTCAAATTTTACTTTATAAAGATGAGATTCAACATTAAATCTCGTCCACACCTATGTTTGGTATGCACACGGATATATCATTATTATCATAATATATTTATATATAAATAACTATTGTGACCTTTAACTAATTTAATCCAAATTCATGTTTGTATACATACATTTTCTTGTATCCTTATGATTTTAATATATGATTATTTGGGGTAAAAATATTTGATTATTTTAATATTTGTTTATTTGATTATTTGGGATATATAGGTTATATAAGGATATAAATATCATTTTGTATGTTCAACCCTTTAACCTCCATACGAAACCCACCCTCTTCCACCATGTTTCATGAAACTCATGAACATGAGTTTAAGTCGCGGGCCTAAAGCGGATTGAGTTTGATAACTTAGAATAAAAATGTAATTGCCAAATATAAATTTGACGAATTTTGTGAACTTTTATTCCTAAATCATCTTCCAAATCCTCCATGCCCCACGTATCAAAATGACCCCCAAAGCTCTCCTTTGCACAGCCCCCAATTTCTCTCTCTCTCTCTCATTCATTAATTGCCTATGGCCATGTGTTTGGTGCCATGGTTGGTCTTGTGGGCTTGTGATATTGGTGGTGGTTGTTGGAACTCTGTATTTTTAAACGATGTTTATGATTTTATTTCATCCCAAACTGAATGTTAGTATCAACAAGAAGACAGGATGTTTTTCAACAAATTGAGCAAACATAATTGTTGGGCCACTTTATCCCAAACTAATTCAATTGTTGAGACACTTATCTAGGGGTGTCAATTGTCGAGACACTCAACGTAATTATACTGACAATTTTTTCTTACCAATTCATTATGAATTATTTACTTAATG